CTATCACTCCCGGCCGGAGGCGGTGCCCGGGGGCCTGCTGTCCCTGGCTAGGCTCCCCGTCTCCCTCCTTGTCCTGTCTTCCCTGGCAGCTGTCCCCCGACCCCCAGTCCACCATGGCCGTGAGCCGGGCCCCTCGGGGCTCACGCTTCAGGTCCCGGCTGTCGGCCACCGCATGTCCCTGCTGGTCCGTCTGTCTGGAATCGTGCCCGCTGCCCGCCCTGCCGCTCTGGTGGGTGAGGCCCTGGGCAGCCTGAGCACTGCGCTCTCCCGAAGTCGCTGCCAGGCTTGGGAGCACGCCACCAAGCGCTCCTTGCTTCCCCGCCCTCCTCAAGCCAGCCAGTTGTGGGCGCGTTTGTTGAGCGCTTTGCTCTGTGCTCCCCGTGCGGCCGACTGCAGAGATAGCCTCCCCGGTGACAGCCCCGTGGGGGCAGGCGTTTCGGGTGTTCCCGGGGACTTCCCGGGGACCGGAGGAGTCGCGTCCCCACGCGGAGGCGGGCCGTCCGTGAGGGGCGCTGCAGGCTGGGTCTCACATGCCGGGTGGCAGCCACCTTCTCCGTGCTTCCTCCAGGCCTTTGTCCCTGGAACCTGCTGTTTTCTTCCTTTCCAGGGTGCTGGCGTGTCTCTGCTGCTCTGTATTTACTTAGTTTTGGGTTGGGGTCTTGCTCCGTTGCCCAGGCTGGAGTTAGGAGGTGTGATCACGGGCCCGTGCAGCCTCGACCTCCTGGGCTTGGGTGATCCTCCTGTCTCAGCCTCCCGAGTAGCTGGGACTGCAGACACACGCCACCACGCTGGCTCCTTCTTTTGATTTTGATGTTTGGTAGAGATGGGGTCTCGCTGTTGCCCAGGCTGGTCTCGAGCTCCTGGACGCAAGTGATCCTCCCGCCTCGGCCTCCCGAGGTGTGAGCCTCCGAGCCGGCCTGTGCTGCCCTTGTCTTTCTAAACCCTTGCGCTGTGCGTCCGTAACCCCAGAGTGCCTTGCTGGGGTCCACCCTGGCCATGATTGTTACTTAAGGCACACGGGGCTCTCTGGCGCTGTGGCCAGCGTGACCCAAGAGGGGCAGGTGGTGACTGTCCCTCCTCCCTCTGCATTTCCCCTCCCCAAAGCCACTTCCTGGGCAGGAGTCGCGCCAGGTGGAGGCGTGCAAGCAGGTGCTTCTTGCGTGCCAGCCTGTGGCCGGGCTCCCGGCGGCTGCGGTGACATCCCTCCTGCACGCCGACCCTTACCTTGACCCTGGCAGACGCCCCGCCACAGGCCCTGGGTCGGGAGGCCGGCGCTGGGCGGGTGATCTGGGCATGGGGGCCGAGGCCTCGGTGGCCCCAGAAGGTGTCGGCCTGGTGCGGTCACGTGGCTGGTGGAGTTCAGTTTCTGAACCTTGAGAGAAGCCCCACTCTCCAGGGGTTTCTCGTCGCGTGTCCGTCGCCTCCTGGTGCTCCGGGAGTCCCTGCAGGGTCTGGAGGGGACCGGAGGCGTCTGGCTGGCGTTGCGGCAGATGCAGCGGTGACCTGCCGCGCGGCTGGGTTGTGAGGCGGAAGGCGCCTGGGGCCTGGCTCTCTGCCGTGGGCCTGACGCGTGCTGTGCGGACACAGGGCTCGCGGTGTCCGTGGCTGCCGTGCCCTGGCAGGCCCGCCGCCTCCCACGCCAGCACCACCCTCTCCCCGCAGGTGTTCAGGACGGACCTGATCACCGCCATGAAGCTGCACGACTCCCACCAGCTGAACCCGGACGAGTACTACGTGCTGGCCGACCCCTGGAGGCAGGAGTGGGAGAAGGGCGTCCAGGTGCCCGTGAGCCCGGGCACCATCCCTCAGCCCGTGGCCAGGTAAGGCCGCCCGAGCGGAGCCCCACGCCCTCCCGCCTCGTGCCCGGCCCTGGACCGGGGCCCACAGAGGGCGGCGTCGCGCAGAGCTCGAGTGGGGGTGGGGACGTGACGGCAGCCCCTCGGGCCCCTGGGTGGCGGCGCTGAGGCCCTGGCCTCTGGACTCCGCCTCACACACTCTGAGGAGGCAGGCCGGTGCCCGGGCATCCCAGACGCCCGGGGCAGAGCAGCCGCGTTCCCACGGCCACGTCCTCTTCCTCGCGCCTGTGTCTGCGCTGGACAGCGGCTCACTCGAGTGTGTGGCGGGCCCCTGGGCCCCCGGGTTGGCTCCACCTTGGAGGGAGGCGGCTTCAGGGAGGGAGCTTTAGAGGCTGTCCCCTGCGTGGTGACGCGGTCTCTGCCCGGACTGGCAGGGTGCGTTCCCCGGAGGGCTGCCTCTCCTCAGTCAGGCTGCGGCTGGGCCGGTCTGCTCCTTTGCCCGCCGTTTAGCTCTGTCGTGCCCGGAGCCTCCCGGGGAGGAGGATCGGGTGGCCTCTGCCTCTGCCTCGCGAAATGGCTGCGCGCCGGCTGGAGTTTCAGCCCCCACGCGCCGTGCGCCTTTTCAGCTATTGAAACGGTCAACTGCCCTTGTCACTTGAGGTCCTGAGGAGCCTGTCCAGCGGTGACGGGCGTCCCTGTCCTGGTGCGGCCCCCGTGGAGGCGGGCTTGGTGGCCCGTGGGGCATGCCCTGTGCCCTCTGTCGCTGGATCGGCCGTGGCCGCCTCCCATCTGTCCGAGACGTGGCAACGCCTGGCTCGGCACCAGGCCCGGCCAGAAGTTGCCACCAAGCAGTCCCCTCCCACTGGGCCTGGGACACAAGACGTGCACGCAGCCGTGGGCTCCTGTGGCCCTGCCCAAGGCATCTGCCCATCATGGCGCCGGGTGGGCAGGTCCTCGTAGTGACAAGGGTGGCGGGAGCTCTGGCCGCCCCGGGCAGCCCGTGGGCCTCGGGGCCAACTGAGACACGGAGCTTGTGTGGCCTTGGGGCCTCTGCTGGGACGAGGGCGCCTGGCTCCAGGCTGGAGCAACTCTCGGGTCCCGTGCCCGCTGCGTCCTGAGGGGCCTGGGGGCAGGGGGACCGTGCTTCCGGGCTGGAGGCGAGCCTGGCAAGGACCGGGCCCTGGCCTGGGCCCCGTGCCTGTCCCGAGACGCCCTGCAGGCTCAGGGCTGCGCTTAGCAGCTCGGAAGTGGCCAAGGCCGGCTCTCGTTCGCTCTCTTGTCAGGGAGGCGGGGGCGGTGGGCATCCCCTTGGCCCCCGCACCCTGCGGGCTGTGCCCTGCCTGGGTGGCTGTGTGGCGCCCGGGTTCCAGCGGCCCCTCGGGGGGGCAGGCCTGGCTAAGGGCATGTAATTGAGTGGCCACCCGGGTCCCGGGAGCCGGTTTTGAAGACGTCTGCGATGCTTTCCTTTCGGGGACTCTGGTGGCTTCCAGTGAGAGACATTTAAGTCGTAAGCCTGCTTTTTATTTTTTTGACTCAGTCATGGTTTGCCACAGCCTGGCCCTCGGGCTCAGGCGATCCTCCTGGCTCAGCCTCCTGAGCAGTTGGGCCTGCAGGCACGTGCCACCATGCTTGGCCGGTCTTTAAAAGTTTTTTGTAGCGATGAGGTCTCTCTCTGTCACCCAGGCTGGTCTCGAACCCCTGGGCACAAGTGATCCTCTCGCCTCGGGCCCCCAAGGTGCTGGGCTTGCCGGCGGGCGCCACGCGCCGGGCCCAGGCCTCCCTTTCCCACGGCCCTGGGGACGCCCCGGGCTCCAGGGCTGGGGTGGAGGCCGCCCCAGGGCCTTTGGCCGAAAGGGTGACCTGGCCGCCTCACCTTGCACCCAGGGTCGTGTCTGAGGAGAAGTCCCTCGTGTTTATCAGGCCCAAGAAGTACATCGTGTCGTCGGCCTCCGAGCCACCCGAGCTGGGCTACGTGGACGTCCGGACGTTGGCCGACGGCGTCTGCCGCTACGACCTCAACGACATGGACGCGGCCTGGCTGGAGCTCACCAACGAGGAGTTCAAGGAGATGGGTGAGGCCGGGGGCGCGCAGCCCTGGGGCTCTTTGGCGTTGAGTTGGGGTCCTCCACCGCCCAGGCTGGAGGGCAGGGCATGCCCATGCTCACTGCAGCCTCGACCGCCTGGGCTCCGGCGATCCTCCCGCCTCAGCCTCCCAAGTGGCTGGGACCGCAGGCGCCGGTGACCACGCCGGCTAGTTTGGGGATATTTTATAAAGGTGATATCTTGAGTCGTATTGCCCTGTCTGGTCTCAAACTCCTGAACTCAAGCAGTCCTTCCTCCTCAGCCGCCCAAAGGGCTGGGATGACAGGTGTGTGCCCCCACGCCTGGCCAGGACTGATTTTTAGTTGTGTTTTGTTTTTTTGTTTTTTTTTTTGAGTTGGAGTCTCACTCCATCGCCCAGGCTGGGGTGCAGTGGCACGCTCACGGCACCCCGTTGGACTCCGGCGATCCTTCTGCCTCAGCCTTCCAAGTAGCTGGAACGACAGGCATGCACTACCATGCCCGGCTAATTTTCTGATTTACTTTAGAGATGAAGTCTCACTGAGTTGCCCAGGCTGCTCTCGGCCCCGCGGGCTCAGGCAGTCCGCTCGCCTCGGCCTCCCCAAGTGCCGGGATGACAGGCTGAGCCACCGTGCCTGGCTCTGGTTGTGTTTTTTCACGGAGCCCAGTGTGTAGTAGACACTTGCTGAATGGCAGTGAAGGCGTCGACCGAACCGGCCGTGTTGCCGTGCCTGCCTGTCTGGCTGCTCAGGCCCTTGATGGACAGGGTGGAGGTCCTTCCTCTGGATACCTGCTTGGGCGTTAATGGCCGGAACATGAGGGACCAGGGGACTGACCCTGGCATCTGCTCAGGGGACCCCAGATTGCTCGGAATGGAGTTCTGGATCCCAGCTTCTGAGGTGACCAACCTCTGCTCTGCAAGCGGCTTTATGAAGACCCATGTCCGGCACCCGCCTGACACGGGATGTCCTGTGTTGGGATGGTGGACACAGCCCAGATCCGTGGGCTTTTATGAGTGGCTTACGTGATCCTAACTGGGCTAACCCATGAGACTTGCGGAGTACGTGGACAGCGTCAGTTATGTGGCTCTGTGACACTCATGGGACACGCGCTTGAAGCGTGTGTGGCCGAGCTACGACTGGCCTTGTTTCCTCCAAGACGGGGTCTCGCTGTGTCCCCAGGCTGGCCGTGAACTCCTGGGCTCAGGCGACCTTGCCCAGCCTCCCGGCCTGCGCCCAGCTGCTGCTGGTCTTTGGTGTGGCGCAGGTTAATTCCAGGACATGGCGCCGTGTTTCCAAGGCCAGTGGCGCTCGAGCCTGGCGGGAGGAGCCGGGAGGGGCGAGCCCGGCCAGGAACCCCAGCCCACGGGAGAGCTGGGCTGGGTCTGGGTGAGTTCAGAGCTCACCATGGGGTCTGTGCGAAGGTGGTCTCCACATTCTCTGAAACTCGAGAAGTTAATTTGATGGCTTTAAAACGGGAGATGATGTAATTAATTAGTCCTAGGTGCTCATGGCATTTCCGTGGTTTTTTTTTTTTCCCCACTCAAATATCCTATTGGAGTGTTTTTTGCAATTTGTGTTTTCCTTGCTGGACGTCTGGGAAGTGTCCACAAACAAGAAAATGAAAGTCTGCACCCAGCCCCAGCTGTGGCCACGATGCCCAGCGGGAGGCTGTTCTTTTCGCTAGATTTTATTGCAGTGACATGGGCACAGGTCAGGAGCAGGGACATGGGTGGGCTCTGGCCGGTCGGAGGTCTGTTTCTGGCGACCCCTCATGCAGGCGCATTGCTGACCCACGTAAGCCTCCTGTTCCAGCCGTGTCCTGGGCTCAGCCTCTCACGTATCTGATCCGCGCCTTTCGGCCTGCTGTAATTCGCAGGGCCCTTAAAGACATTTGTGCCCCCGAGCCTGCTGTCAGGGAACCCTCTCAGGCACGGAGAAAGGCTCATTCTTAAAGAACACCTAGGGCCGGGTGCTGTGGCTCGTGCCTGTCATCCTAGCACGTTGGGAGGAGGCGAGAGGATGCCCTGAGACCGGGGGTTGAGACCGGCCTGGGCAACTTGGTGAGATCTCCCCTCTACAACTGACCAAAAGAAAATGCAGCCAGGTGTGATGGCACGTCCCTGTAGCTCCAGCTACTGGGAAGGCTGAGGTGGAAGGAGGACCTGAGCACAGCAGGTCGAGGCTGTGCCGATGCCCTCCGTCTGGGCGACAGAGTGAGGCTCCTACTCCAAGAAGAGCGCACCCGGACCCAGAGTGGGGCTGTGTTCCAGGCTCCCTTCCCGTTCGAGTCGCCGTGTGACCCAGCGAAGTGGCTCCGTCCGCAGTTGGCCGTCCGGGCCCTCGGACCTGCCTTCGCCCTGCCCTGTCCCTGCCCGGCCGTGAGGCCAGTTGCCACGGGGGGCCCCGCCTGCCTCTTAGTGGACGCTGCTCCACACAGTGGCCTGAGCCGCGCCCGCAGGACGCCCCGGGCACAGGCGTGGGTTTGCGTGCCGCGTCTGTCGCATGTGGGGGCGGGGGCGTGCCCGTGCCCAGCGTCGCCAGCGACTGACAGGCGCCCTGCGGCCCAGGCATGCCGGAACTGGACGAGTTCACGATGGAGCGTGTCCTGGAGGAGTTCGAGCAGCGCTGCCAGGACAGCATGAACCACGCCATCGAGACGCAGGAGGGCCTGGGCATCGAGTACGACGAGGACGTCGTCTGCGACGTGTGCCAGTCGCCCGACGGTGAGGACGGCAACGAGATGGTGTTCTGCGACAAGTGCAACATCTGCGTGCACCAGGTGAGCGGGCGGCGGTGGCCGGGCCGCAGGGTGGTGTCTGCGACGGGCGCCCCATCTGCCTGCACCTGGTGGGTGGGCGGAGGGGCTGGCCGGGCTCGAGCCCCTCGCCGTGGGGCTGCTGCCCGGGCCGTGGCTGGCCCCGGACGGGCCCTGCTTTCCCGCGTGACTTCGAGAAACAGGCCCTGCACGCTCCGCCGGGGCTCTTACGGTGCTGGAGTGTGGCCTGATCCTCTGTGGACATACTCTGTCTTCAAGTGTGTTTTGTTCTTTCTTTCTTTCTGTTTTTTTTTTCTTGAGTTGGAGTCTCATCCTGTCACCCAGACTGGAGTGTAGCGGCCGCTCTCGGCCACTGCAACCTCGACCCGCTGGGCTCCGGCGATCCCCCCACCTCAGCCTTCCGAGTAGCCGGAACTACAGGCGCGCGCTACCCCGCCCGGCTGATTTTTTGATTTATTGTAGAGGTGAGGTCTTTGCCAAGTTGCCTGGGTGGGTCTCGAACCCGTGGGCCCAGGCAATTCACTCACCTCGGCCTCCCAAAGCGTGGGATTACAGGCTGCCACTGAGCCCGGCACATTTTATTCTTATCCCTAGAAGTGCAGCTTGCTTGAAAGAATGTGTGGGATGGGTGCGGTGGCTCACACCTGTAATCTCAGCACTTTGGGAGGCTGAGGTGGGAGGACCACTTGGGCCCAGAGCTTGAGACCAGCCTGGGCAACAGGGCAAAGCTCCGTCTTCACCAAGAAATAACAGAAATTAGCGGGGCCTGGTGTGTGCCTGTAGTCCAGCTACTTGGAGGCTGAGGTGGGAGGAGCACCTAGCCCGGGAAGTAGAAGCTGAGGCCAGCTGTGATTGTGCCACGGCACCACTCCAGCCTGGGAGACAGAGTGAGACCCTGGCTCAAAAAAAATGTGAATGCCCCCCGATCCGCGTCCTGCTCCGAGGACACCAGCGAGACCCTCCATGTGTCGGGACTGCTCCTCAGAACCACCGTACGAAGCAAGCTCGCTCCGGCCCAGGGGGTGACTTAAAACACCCACGGCGTCTGGCGTGGGAGGTCCCCGGGCCGGTGGCAGGTGACAGGCGGCAGGGCGAGCGTCCCACGACGCGGCGCCTCCCTCGCCTCCTTGGCTCCTGGGGTCTGGGGCGTCCCGTGGTGGCCCCACGCAGCCGACTCGGGAGGACACCAGTCCTGGCGCCAGGGCCCGCCCACTTCAGTGTGGTCCCCACCTTCAGGCGTGGCTCTGCCGCGACCTTCTCTAAGGCCACGTTTGGGGTTAGCAGGGCTGGGGGTTCAGCGCTGCCTTCTGGGGATGCCTCTCGGCCTCGTGAGCACGTCGGGGGTCCTGGCCAGCTGCCTGCAGTGGGGAGCTGCCTTCTTAGGGCTGTGTCCGTCTGGGACCCCGGGTCAGCAGGGCAGGGCACGTGCTGCTGTGTCCCTGGGAGGGCTGATCCCTTTGGCGCATGGGGGCAGCTCCCGCCTGGAGGCTTCGTGTGTGGGGTGTGGGGCCCATGGGTCGGTCCTAGGACGTGCGAGGTGGCCTGAGGTGCAGTCACCTGCTGAGGCCGAGATGGGTGGATACAGCGCTCTCTTGGGAAGGGCAGGTCCGGCTTTTCCTGTGGCTTTCTCGCTTCCCGGTCTGTGACCTCGGGCGTCCCTCTGTGCGAAGGCCTCCCCGTGGGGCCTCGTCCCGGGCCTCCAGCCCTGTGGGCGCCCCTCTCCTGGCTGTGGGTGCTGCCCTGTCAGGGCAGTTGCCTGGGGCTGCGAGGAGTCCCGTGGTGGCTTGGCTCCGTGGCGGCGGGTGGCGTGGCGACCAGGGCCGCTTCTTGTCACCGGCATCGTGTGCATTTGCTGGGACGACGTCTCGGGCTTTTCCTTGCTGTTTGTTCTTCCTGTGAATTCTGTATTTGTTCCTAGAAGGGCGCTGCTGGAAAACCAGCCCCGGCCCCGGGTCTGTCCGCCGGCTGGCCCTGTCCCGGGGCGGGCAGAGCTGAGCCCAGGTCCGGTCTCGCCCTCCCCCCGCTGGCCCTGCCATCCACGCTGTCCCTTCTCCTTGACAGCGACCCCGTTTTTCTCTTTTGGGAAATGCTTTGCGGCGTCTCTTCTCTCGGGCAGGCTTCATTTACCCTTCTGGGCTAGCTCAGCCTGTCTTTTGGGCGGAGAAAGGAGTCTGACCTCAAGGGGGGCTTTCGAATTCCTCACCCGGAGCCTCAGTGCTGAGACTCCGCGGTGTCATTCGGCACCACTGACCCCTCTTTCCCCGCGAGTCTGTGCCGGCCGCAGCCCGTTCTCGGCCGGCCACTGCGTCACTCACCTCTCACCCTGGGGCTCCCCCTTCGGGTCACAGCGTGGCTGCGTGTCCCCATCTGGAGAGTGGAGCCACGCCACCGCCACCGCCCGGCATCCAGGCCACTTGAGGACACGCCGCTCAGCAGCCTGGCTCGGAGGGCACGGAGCCTCCTGGCTCCCGCCCCAGCAGCCACGCCTGTCCCTCCTCCCTTTGAAGCCGCTCCTGCCGTCTGTGGAATTCTGCGTCTCGTGTAAAACAGGCTGGGTTTCCATGCCAGCCCAGAGGGCACGTCCTCCTGTCTGGCCCGGCGGCCCGTGGGTGCTGTCCCCCGATGGCGTGCCGGGGTCGGCAGGGAGCGTGCTGGCCCGGGAGCGGGGGCTTCCTGGCGTTCCCTGCGTGCCCGGCCGTCCCCTCCAGCAGCTTCGCAGCCCCTCTTGAGTGCCCTGGGCATTTCCCCGCACTCTGGGCCCCACTGGCATCCATGAGGCCCCGGAGCTGTGTCCCCCACGCGGCCCTGAGGGGTGTTGGGAGGATTCACGGCTCAGTATTTATTTTTAGTACTTTTTAAAGAAGAGTTGGGGTCTTACTCTGTTGCCCAGGGCATGATCACAACTCAGTGCAGCTCAGGTGATCCTCCCGCCTCGGCCTCCTGAGTAGCTGGGAATACAGGTGCGTGCCACTCCACGCCTGGCTGATTTCCACTTTGCGTAGAGGTGGGGTCTCGCTGTGTTGCCAGCCTGGTCTTGCGCTCCCGGGCTCAAGCAGCCTCCCAGGGCGCGGGGAGGACAGGCGTGAGCCCCCGCAGCCGGCTTCTGCTCGATATTGAGCAACTTGGTGGAGACAGACTTCTTCAAACCTTCTGTCGTCAGGGAGTTTCCAGAACCGCCCTCAGCTAAGTCAGTCGGCAGCTGCCTGAGCCCTGCACGCCTCCCAAGCGCTGCTGCCAGCTGGGTCACAGCCGGGTCCGCGTGGCACGTCTGCTGTGTGGGGTGCGGTGACCGTCATCCTGGGGCTTCGCGGTGCAGAGCTGCCGTCGGCCGGGTCACAGCCGGGTCCACGTGGCGCCTCTGCCGTGCGAGGTGCTGTGACCATCGTCTGGGGCTTCGGGTCATAGTGGCCGTGAGGACAATCACCTCTCTCTCTCTGCCTGTCTGTCTCTGTCCTCGCATGGACGGCGGTGCCCTGCAGGCCTGCTACGGAATCCTCAAGGTCCCCGAGGGCAGCTGGCTGTGCCGGACGTGTGCCCTGGGTGTCCAGCCGAAGTGCTTGCTGTGTCCCAAGAAGGGCGGCGCCATGAAGCCCACGCGCAGCGGAACCAAGTGGGTCCACGTGAGCTGCGCCCTGTGGATCCCC